TAAGCTACACAAGCTATAGCTCAAGGCCCCCCCCCAAATTAAAATATAGAATAAATAGTATTAAAATATGTTATAACAGACTTATAAAGGGCCCTATAATCTCAAATAGCTTAGGGCCTTATCAAGTCTAAATCTGGCTCCGAATCACGTTTTAGAATGCAGCTAGAAACACCATAAGATTACACAGAATGGGTTTATGTTTATTAACCCATTGCCTTATTATCTTTACTGTCACTTCTACTTTTGTCAGCTTCTACCAGGATGGTAATTAGCTAATGCATAGAGTTCTAGAAGTTAGGAGAGAGCTTTTGGAAGTGACCAACTGAACTTTTGCACTATTTTTGACCAGCTCTTAAAGTTACTGAATTAGCTTATTAATGAGTTACTGAATTAGCTCTTAAAGTTACTGAATTAGCCTTTCAATAGCTGTATTTAGAAGGCCTGAGCCAAAAATTACTGTAGGACTTTGCAATGTTAATTGCATATTTTATGTATTGAAACTTTACTTTGATATTTGTGCGAGTTTCCACAATCAGCAGTGATTCATTTAGTAGTAGTTGTTAAAACAAAAGGTGTATTTTAAGTTTTCTTTTGGGTCACCTCACTATCTACACGGAGCTGGCACAGAAATACTTAGGGCCCTTGTAATATAAGACTGTTTTTTAACATATTACAGACTATTATTGGCATGAGAAATGTTATTTTCAAAAGCATGCATCTTGCACCACTAAAATTGACAGTCAATGTGGTTAATTTTAATAAAAATGAGATGGGTGCGATATTTTAATGAAATGATATGTATGTTAGTTTGCTTCTTTAATATTATGTGAATATAAAAGCTGCTTTATACACAGTGCAAATTTAAAAAGGAGAAAATGAACACATAATCATAAAAGGCATAATAGAATAGAATTTACAATTTTTAATGTTACTTGAAAATTAAAAATCTTCTGAATTACATTTTTAACTTTTACATGCATGATTTTTAAAACTTATTGAAAAACAATTATAAGATACATTCAAGTCATAGATTTGAATTTGCAGCGAATCCTACATCATGATTTTAACGCATTTGCATATGAAATATATCTTTATCCCCATACAAATTTAAAAATAATTTTGATTTTTCATGTAAACAAATGAAATTTAACTAAATTTCAAGAAACTAAGATAAACTGACACATCTCCAGGAATAAAGAAATATCCCCCTCTCCAACTAATACAGTTCTTGTGATGTTTAATATTTTTAAAAATCTGATGTGTACATCACATGACTTCCTTGTAGGGAATATTAAATTATACACATTTTTTCCTGCATTTTATTTACAATTACTTTCTCGAATCTCATTTCTCATTCGATTAATTCAGTTCTCATTTCGCAGCAAGGCAAAAATAATAAAACTTTTAAATATTTTTATTAAAAATTGAAAAATATAAAACATAAATACAGTTAAAACAATTTAAAGAATAACTTTTACAATTAAAATTTTTGTTGATAATTCTACTGTAATTGCATGCAGGTTAACTAAAAGGCATAAAAACTTTAACCGTAAGATACGAACAACATAATTCAATCATTTTTAAAGCAAAAAATGCGCAATTTACCAAAATATAAGAATTAAAAAAGCTGAGCTCACTGAGCTGAATATATATATATATACATTGGTGCAACCGAATGCAACCAAAGAGGGAGGTGCACAACTACATATTATAGCAGTCCTATATACAAAATTTCAAAATGTTCTGAAGCTACTTGTTTTTGAGTTATGCAAGATACATTCACCATGAAAAAAATCTCTTCTGAATCCATTTTAAATCAGTATTATAATTCGTTTGGGGGAAAAAAAGAGTCCTTTATTCTGTCCTAATGTACAGATATCAAGCAAAAACATTGTTAAATTGCATATGACAGTGGTTAAAATGGATATTTTCATTGAAATATGTATGGTACTTGGAATTTTTCGTGATTACAGTACTTCCTTTACTTCATACAAGGAAGTAAAAATATGATAAAAAAACAGAAAATATTTTTAAGCAGAGTGTAAAAAAAAAAAAAAAATAAGATGCATAATCTGTTTGTTGAAAAAATGTTTAAAACTATATCAACAACAACAACAACAAAAAAAAAAAAAAAAAAAAAAAAAAGAGCTTATTATACATTTACATTTTTCTCATGAATATATAATTAAGTTACTGTGAATTACATATTTATACAACTGCTTGTTTTCTAGAGAATCATTTGTAATTTTGATATGATAATCCTCTTTTACAGTTAGTACGATAAAATGTCACTATGATAACAATTACATAATGGATGACATCATTAATGATTGAAAATAAACAGCAGTAGAAATAAAACAGCATATATCCAATACAATTTCTAATGTAATCAAATCATACTTAACAGTTTTATTTAAATTGGTATGAAATATTTGATTTACTAAAATTTTACATAATTTGTTTCCTCATCCTTCATACATATTAAACATCTGCACCATACTTTATCATTCATTAGCTAACAATGACCGTTAATACTTCTGTATTTATAGCTTTCATGCAATACCATACTATTGGCCCAAAATAATAATGGACACTTAATTTTATTGATCTCGTTTGATTTGTTGCTCATCTGATCTTTAACATCACACATTTCATGACTAAAAGTGAATTATTAAAATATGCCAAAAAAGAAGAAACGATTATAATTAAGAAATAATCCCGCTTAAGCACAAATATAAAACTCCACATGTATTATACACACATAAACACACAAACACATGAGATAATATATTAGTTTAAATGCAGTTTGTAGATATCAGTTAAAATGCAGTTTCTAGTTATATGTCCTTTAAGACAAAGCATTGTTTAATATGCTAGCTAGTCAAAGAATACTTTTAATGTACAAAAATTAATTTTGTTTTTAAATAGCAATTTATAAATAGTAAACAAACAACACATCTTTTGTAAAGATGCATAAAACTTAGATTCTAGGATGGGAATTGCAAGAAAAAGTTAATGGCCAAAGTGCTTTTAATAACTCAGCCAGTTAAATTGTATATTTCAGGAATTCTGAAATATGAGATAACAGGTACAAATACAGCATATTTTAATCACTGAGATTTCAAAAATGAAAAGAAAGATAGGGTTTTGAAATTCCTATTCATCAATCTCCTAAACCACAAATCTGTATATCTCTCAAAATTTGAATTTCATGCAATGCTTAAAATTTATGTTTCTGCTTTTGTGAAAGTATAAGTAAAATAATTTTGACAATTTCACAACTATACATCATTCTCTCTGCTTCCCTAATAAAAGATTTCAATAAGGATGCAAAACAATTTACTCTAGGGAATTTTATTCATTGCAAACCATTAAGTTATTTTGATTTTTTATATTTTTACTAAGAGGTTTCACATAATGAATATTATCACACACTGAAAGCATACTTATGCCATGAATTCAAAAGATATGTGAACTTTAAGTTTACTTTATGTACTTCCGATTGCCCATGCTTTTTAGAAATTTATATGTATATATATTATATGTATTTGGTAGCTATGGCTGTTTAGCTGGATGACTGAATCACACTGGGCTTTGATATAATAACTGGTTAATAATGCTGGGCTAGGATAACTGGTTAGTAACACAGGGCTAGGAAACAATATTTCCTGGCATGAAAAATTTTAAGTTTTATTATTACTTTTAAAATAATATATACATATTTTTTACTCCAGCTTTATAAAAAAATAGCACAAATCAAATTCTTAAACAAATAAGTACTTCCACTTATTTTTAAAACTAAGTAAGTAATTTACAAATTCCTGCAATAGTTTTTTTTATCATGGAAAACTGTTAACACATTATCTAATGCATATAATTCATATAGCTATGAAATATGACTGCTATCCAATTCACATTTGCTTTTTAAAAATAACCACGCTAAATGTTTCACATACAAAAAAGATATATTCACATAAAATGTTAATGATCAGTGCACACATTTTTTGATTCATCAATGACATACATTTACAACTATTCTTCCATTATGGCAGCTATATTCAGACAACATAACCACAAATTGAGAGGAGGGTAATCTTATCCATATATACAAAATTATATACAGTCAAAAGTCGTTAATTCGGACACCCATAATCCGGAATGATCTATAATCCGGACCTCAAAGCTAAAATCTTTCTGCGCATGCGCCGCATTGACGCATGTGCATAGGCGTTTTACTCGTGCGCGCAAGACATTTACGACTGCGCATATGCGTCTGCGCAAGTGCAGAATACGTTTTCGCGTGCGCGTTTAATATATAACGGACGGTATACGCTAAAATTATCTATTTCAGTTAATGTTGATGATTGCGTTGTTCTTTAATCTTCGAATTGGATCCGGCTTATTATTTTTTGCAGACTGTAAGAGCAATTTTCTAAAAGTAAGCTTGAACTTTCGATTATGTCAAATAGAATTTCCGATGCTGGAGCTCCCAAAGGATCTAGAAAACGAAAGTATGTTTCGATGTCCATCAAACAAAAAACGAATTGCTACAAAAAATGGATAAAGGCATATTCTTTGTTTTTCTAACCGTTCTGAAATCTGTTTATCAATTTCACGCTGCTCTGCGCGGGGGGGGGGACTTCGCGGCGCGCAATGAACTGGAAGTTGATTTGTCAACACTATCGTTATCTTCAGGGCAGATGTTTTTATTTTATTCGGCTTATAATTCCTTACTAAATGTAGTATTTAATTTCGATGTACTCCGTCTTTGATATGATTTAAATCAAATTCCTCGTCATTATAAATATCACGAATACAAATCAAATAGTTTTCTGGTTGCAATTTTCTAATTTCGGCTATGCGTAAGGTATGCTTTACGCATCCGCGCGTTGAAAGAAATGTTTAATAAAGTAAACAAATAAATATTAGGCTTCTTTTTTGGTAAATTTTGATACCCTTTAGATCATAATTGCTCATTATTTTATAAATTACGGTTTCATATTTTTAATTTTATAATTTCTGCATGCCATCTTACCAGATTTAAACTGATGATCTATAATCCGGAATCGCCGAAGTCCCGACGAGTCCGGATTAAAGACTTTTGACTGTAGTATTTGAAGGAATGAAATCATTCTCTAGTTAATATTTCCATCAAAAACAATCAGAGATTATTTACACTTTGAATCACCAATCTGAAACACATCTTCATGCCTATCAAATTGACACAAATTAGTTTCAGACTTTTAAATATCATTTAGGAACTTGCAAAACAAACAGTATTGAAAACACTCTACAAATATCACATTTCTGAATGTAATTTGCCATGCTTACATTTGCACAACCACACCTTTTGGCAACAGTTTATTTGAAGCTACTGTTAAACTCAGCAAATAAAATCTTTGTTTCAAGGGCATAATTCAGAGTGCAAATTCTGCAATAACCTGATGATTTCTGAAAATGATGGTCTTTCATGAGAATCTTTTTCCCAGCATGTTCTCATCAATGAATAAACAAGAGCTGGACAGCCAGGTGGAATGCCTAGACGATGACCTTGTTGCAGAGCTTCATTTAAAGCAGTATCAGGAACACCAGGTATTTCTGGATTCTCACCATAAGAAAACATTTCCCATAATGTAATTCCATAACTCCATACATCTGATTTATGAGAGAATTTGCCTTCACTGATGCTTTCAAGTGCATACCTGAAAGTACAAATAACAATTGTTCTGAAAAATTTTCATACCCCCCCCCATTTTTTCTTTTCCATTTTCATACAGTAAACCCTTGTCAAACACAGAGGTTATGCCATATATGGCGAAGAGAAGTTATGTCATGTATGGTTAACGTGTCCATGTATGGCAAAATCACATTCTGCAAAGTTAACTTCATGTGAAAAAAAACAGATTAGGCATACTTCAAATTAAGAAAGTCTACACAATTTATACAAATATAAACATTATTGTAATTAAAAAGGAAAAATGAAACAAATGTTAATTGAAAGGATTTTTATTACTAGTAAAAAAGTAGGTACAGGATAGAATTATTTTTTTAAAATGACTGGTGAATTTTGCTTCTGACAATGTTCAAAACAACTCATTAAAAGTTTCGTGCTAAAAAGTGCAAAGTTTTTCAACTCTGATAAAGTCTTCTCTTGATTCGAGTCAGTCTCCGTTACAAAATCAGACAGTTCCTCTGACTTTTTTTAATAATGCATTTAACTTCTTATATGTTTAAAGTACTTTATCTTCTTCACTATCACTGCTTTCATCACCAGCTATCATTATAAAATCATCTGATTCCTCATTTGTCATTTCATGATCATCATTCTCCACTAATTCTTTGTGTGATTTCTTTGGCTTCATTTTCAATCAACAGAAATACACTGTTGACAACTTCTGGTCAGCACTGATGCTAGCAAGCATTCATAGTTGATCAATTCACTTGTTCCTGTTCAAGTTTAATCATTTCTCAGTGTCTTATGTTTAATTGCTTCTGAAATGCCATTAGTAATGCCTTTGTATAGTGCTTTATTTGCAGAGATGTAAACATGCCTGACATAAAAGGCCTTAAGTGATTTATGATTCCTTGATCCATTGGTTGGATTCAGGAACTGGTATTTGGAGTCAGAAATAAAACTTCCACATGCAATGTTGTGTAGGCTTCAGTACTTTGTCTTGGAGAATTACAGTAACTTTAAAGCCCAGGTTTTGCTGTTTTAAATAATATGAGACTTTTTTAATGAATGAATTTTCCAACCAATCATTAAAAGAGATCACTGCATGCAACATAGCCGATGCTTTGTAGCACACCACATATAATTAATATACTTGCATAGGACAAATGCTGTTTACATCTCTGCATAGGACAAAAGCAATATACAGAAATGCTGGATGATTCATAAACTCTGTTACTATTGATAAATTACATAAGCATTACCTAGTTTTCTGAGGATAAACATTAAACAAGTCATGGTAAACATTAAAAAAAGACAGTTACAGCTTGAAACAGCTTAATTCTCAAATTCCAAATAGCAAAATCACAGGAATTTAAACACAGAAAAGCTCAAATGAAAGATTATACTCCAGATAATAAAATATTTTTAAAATGTCCCAAGAAAATATTTTCATAAAAGTGAATGCACAGCAACCCAAATATATTTTTGCTTGAATGAAACCAATTCTATTTGAGGAAAAATAAAATTTTGCACTTGACAGCATTGATTTTGAAAAGCAGGCATTACACTGCTTTCACTAGCAGAGTTTGGACAATATCATATGAACTTAAGAATGCATTAAAGAAAATGCTGCACTTTTTTCCTCATAAATATGACATTTTGTCAAGTAGTAAAGCATATAGGAACGTGCTTTTCATGAAATTCATTTATGCTATTTACTGAATTTTTTTTTTTCTTTTTTTTTTTCAAAGTTCAAACAGGCCAGTGAGTAGTACATGGACAGCAGTACTAGTTTGCTCTGCAATTCTCTGATTTTTTTTTTTTTTTTTTAAATTTAAAACATATTGCTAAGAATATGAATAGAAAGACTGGGAAAAAGTTGTTTTATTATGGATTTTTGATACATTTTTAAGTTTGTTAAATTGCTGCTACTTTGATTTGATTTGACTAACTTTTGCTGGTTTATGTAATTTTAAGGGCACTGCCATTTTTTAAAATGGCTACTGTTCTTCGCATGTTAGTTTGGTGAAAGTTTAGTTGCCAATGATTTGAAAAATTGAGCAGATAATGCAAGAATACCACATATGCTTTTAGTTATTAATAAAATACAATGCAGTGCACCTCAAGAATAATACATGATAAAATGCATGAATTTGTTATTCAGTATAGTTCTAAGATTTAGTAACATGGATTATTCAATTTTTTTATTCAAAATTGCTCTTCAATCATTTGACATGATTTTGACATACTGCCATTTGTTTCTATCTTTCTCCTTTCAAATCATCTTACAGCTTTCAAAAGGAATTAAGCTGTCAAATGTGCCTGACAAAGGAATATCTAAATTTTAGGCTTAACCCTCCGAGCAATGCAGTTTTTTGACTTCCTGATGAAGAGCTATATTTAAATAACATTTATTACTTAGATTTGTATAATTACTTATTTTACCATTTCTTTTCATAACTTTCCATTCATTAAGCTAATACAGTCAAAAGTCGTTAATTCGGACACCCATAATTCGGAATGATCTATAATCCGGACATAAAAACTAAAAACTTTCTGCGCATGCGTCACGTTGACACATGCGCAGAGGCGTTCACGCGTGCGCGTAAGACCTTTTACGACTGCGCATATGAGTGTGCGCAAGTGCAGAATACGTTTTCGCGTGCGTATTTTATGTATAATGGACGTATAAGCTAAAATTATCTAATTATCTATTTCAGTTAATGTTGAGATTTCAGTTAATGTTGATCCTTAATTTTCGAATTGCATCCGGCTTATTATTTTTTGCAGACTGTAAGAGCAATTTTATAAAAGTAAGCTTAAACTTTCGATTATATCAAATAAAATTTCCGATATATATTTGTTATTATGTAAAGGATCTAAAGCGAAAGTATGTTTTGAAATCCGAAATCTCTTTATCAATTTCACGCTGCTCGGCGGCGGGCGCGTAATGAATTGGAAGTTGATTTGTCAGCACTATCCTTATCTTCAGCGCAGATGTTTTTATTTTATTTGGCTTATAATTCCTTACCAAATGTAGTATTTCATCTCGATATGCTCCGTCTTTGATATGATTTAAAACAAGTTCCTCGTTTATAGCGAAGAAAAGTGACAGAGGTTATTGAAAACAAAAAAATTTCGATTGACAAATTAGTCGGTGTTCTTGACACAGCAATTATAGGACTTGAACGGCGGAACTTTGTAACTGAACAAGAAATTATGTCTGTTTAATAGAATTAAAGAGAAAGTATTATCACATGAAACGAAGCAAAACTTAAACAACTTACATTGAAAGAAATGTTTAATAAAGTAAACAAATAAATATTAAGCTTTTTCTTTTTGCAAATTTTGATACCCTTTAGATCATAATTGTTCTTTATTTCATAAATTACGGTTTCATATTTTTAATTTTAGAATTTCTGCATGCCATCTTACGAGATTTAAACTGATGATCTATAATCCGGAAAAATCGATAATCCGGAATCGCCGAAGTCACGACGAGTCCGGATTAACGACTTTTGACTGTATTTAAATTATTAAACAATAAAACAAAACAATATATTTCAAAATAACAATTATTACTGACTGACAGGAAATTCAAATGGATAAAAGCAGTCATGCCAATCAAAAAGGAATATACTTAAAAATTAATTTAAAAAAAATCTTTTTAGTTTCCTTTAAATTTACATCAGATACAAGAATAATGTGCAAAACCTTAAAATCTTAGATTTTCAATAAATGTTAAACCATTTAAAATATAACTAAAATGACTTTTTTATAATAATCAAAATAAAAAAGAACTTGACGTCCAAATTCATTATTATCAGTGACTTATCCTCTCATATAGCCCACTGAACAATAATAAATTAAGTTTCCAGGATCTTTCCTTCCATAATAAAACTATCCTTTGCGGAGATTTTAATGCTCATTGCTCCCACTGGAATTATAAGGATTCTAACAATTCCGGGAGGACAATGGAGGACCTAACTAATTCAACCAGACTGGAACTAATCTACCAGAATATGGATATTCCTTCTTATATTTATTATTTATCGTATAATGGAAATTGTACAAATCTCGATCTGATTTTAGCTACTGCTGATTTAGCTGGGGATGCAAGAAGGGAAGTTCTGGTTCTGGACATCGTATCATCACGACCCGTTTTGGATTACAAACCTCTTACCCTTTAGTAAATAAAGTGAAAAACAGGTGGAATTTTAAGAAGGCGAAGTGGGAAAACTTTTGCTGGGAACTTGAGTCTATCTTTTCCCAGCCATCTAAGTTTTTAAACCGAGAAGGCATTCTCTTATTTTTCTGAATTGACAAGGCAATCTCTTATTTTTCTGAATTAATTTTGACAACCGCAAAGAAGTGGATACCAAGAGGTAAACAACTAAGGTTCAAGGCTTTCTGGAATGATAGATTGACTGAATTATAGGAAATATCCATTGAATTCTGAAATGTTGCTGAACAAACAAAAAAATCCTAAGGACGTCCAAAGATGGAGAAGTGTAGCCATCCTTAGAAAAGAAATTATTGCGGCAAGAGAAAAAATGCTTTAATGATTTCATTACTAATATAGATAATAGAAAGGACAGAAAAAAGATTTATAATTTTGTGATGGAGTGAAAAAGGAAGAGAGTGTTCAGGGAAGAAAACCCATGAAAGTAGGTTCAAAAATACTGACGGATGATATGGTCATGCGGATGCTTTTCACTCATTTTATTGCAATAGACAGCGTTTAAAAAACGATCTGAAGAAGAGCCAAAAGATCCTTAGAAAAACAATTATCGGGAACTTTTTTTCTAGCTCTTGTGGACCTTTGGTTTTTAATAGAAATTATACTATTTCTGAATTTCTGGGAGCTATTGGACAAATGAAATGTAAAAAAAGTTCAGGCCCAGACAATATCCATATTGAATTTTTAAAGAATTTTGGCGAAAACACTCTGAATGTCCTCCTGAAGCTCTATAAGAGTTGGAACTCAACTGTTCTTGCTGCCTGGAAAAAGGCCATCTTGATCCCAAT